GAAGCAAAGAAGAACGCCGGGAAGCAAAAGAGTTGCAGTTTTAGATGTTAAATAGCGATTGAAGTTGTTGCAGGCTCCAGTCGTTCTAATGAAGTTACATTTATTTGGGAATGATTACTTGCATGCGTGAGCTTGCCTCACCGTGGGGCATTTTCCACATTTTCAAAATCAAAAGACAAATGCCCCGGGGGGTGAGCGGGCTTGGAATTGACTGAGCCATTGGTATTGATAAATTAGTTTTACTTTACGAACAGTTCGATTATAATTTATCATTTTTTTGTGTGTGTAGGAATTTGTCGTGACTGCAGGACGGCCATTCTTCCGGATACCAAGATAACGGTTACAGAAGCCTGTAGCTCAAGCATAGCTGGCATTGCATAAGGAATTGAAAATGTTTCTTTGGTGAGCCACTTTAGTGACAGTACGTAGTAGTTTCAGTAGTTTTCACATGTATTTTCGCGGTGAAAGGGCATTATCAATTGCGATTTTAAGAAAATATGTGATTAAACATGACCTGTTTTCTGATAGACACCCACTTGTGTAGACTTGCATAAACTTACTATGGGTTGTATCTTATTTGATCACGTTGAGATTTCAACGCAAGGAGTTATCCAGCAGTTTCGTTTGTTTGGCAAAACAATCTCCATCATTTATGAATAGCGCTATCAATATTGAATAATTATATTCAAGCCGATGCACGACATTGGAAGTCAATTCATGTAAGTTCAGACTTCCTACTTGTGCTGGCCTCCATCTCGTTTTTTCTATTACTTCTCACCGTGCCTGATGTTTCAGAATTTGAGCGCCAGTGTAGCCCAGTCAAATAAAGCATTTGGAATTAAACACGTTATGACTTTCTACCAAGTTACATACTTATGTTTTCTTATTTCTCTGAGAAAAACAGAAACGCAAAGTAATACTAACAGTAAACACCCGCATACAAGAACACGTGGATTAAGAACATCAGGCTAAAAATTGGGCAATTAAACACAATTTATATACTGAAGAACAAATTCAGCCTGAAAAATAAACATGTTCTTTATGTTTAAAAGAAAAAGGATACCAGAAAAAGAAAGCTGGTCTAGAAAAACTAAGAAAATTCGTGTTTACTTATATCATTGATAGTATTTATTTATTTTTAATTTGAATTTTTTTTTAGTGCAAGTAATGAAACATTGTATGCTAATTACACCTCTAGTGATGTATAATGTATACTATTTCTGAAAAAATGTTAAGAACAATTTAATAACGCTTTCAGGCTGATTTCCACTAAACACCCATTAAACAAAAACACGATCAGCCAGAAGCCCGAAATCAATGTTCTTATATTCAGGTGTTTACTGTACACGCGTGGTTACATTTGTAGGACGAGGGGGAGGATTACGCTGGTGTTCCTCACAGTACTCCCATAACACCAGGAGGAAGTTTCTACATTCCTGAAAGTGACGACACATGCACTTCTTTTGAAGTAACGTTCGATGATCTTCGCGGTGCACAGGCAGAACACAAACCTGCTGACGCCCTTAACGAGTATTTGCAATCCCGAGATACCAGTCCAGTCCGTTCTAGGCTTAACACTTCGTGGGAGATCGCAAGTGAGAGAACAAAGCGTTACTACATAAGAAAAGCTGGACAAGGTGTGACCGCCATAATGGAAGATATCGCGCCCAAAAGTCCTGCTGAGTTGTTCCAGGCAATGTGTTCCTCGCAAGCCATCCAAAGAACTTTGTCAAGTGACGAGGAAACTGAGACAACTATCGATGAAACCCTACTAGGAGCGCTTGCTGATTGCTACCACGCTGCTGGATGTTGGGAGACGCGTCGGCAAATTCTGTCTATCATGGCCGATAAAGTGTCGTTTAAGAAGTTGCGACTTTGGATACCAGACCTGTCAAGTTATCGTTTTACCGAGGCCAAACGCCATTGTCTGACACACGGGAGAGGAGCACCTGTATCGTCAGCGCAAGCGCCTGTGATGCGTGTTTCCACTGCACAAATAGATCCCTTTATCACATTTATTACAAGTGCACATGTTATCCAGGACTTGCCCTTCGGGGAAAGGACTATAACGTTGTCATCAAAAGAGACAATCAAAGTTCCCAACGTTATACGAACCATGGTTCCAGAACGATTAGTAAAGCAGTACCTCGCGTATTGTGAGGAGACAGGATTTAAAGCCCTCAGTCGCAGCACCCTATTGTGTATCTTAAGTGTCTGCGCCGCGTCTGTGAGGAAGTCCTTGCAAGGACTCGATTACATTAGTTCTTCAGGGGCAGAGGCATTTGACAAAAGTGGCCGAGATGCTTGGGGACGCTGGGCAAGGGATGGGGTGGGCAAAACAGCAAGAAACCAACCTAAGGGAAAGCAAGCGCTATCTAAAGAGCGACTACAAGGTACGTTTTATTAATTTGTTTGTTTAATTGCAATCAAACTTTTCTACTGCGATCAAGCTTGCAAGTTAATAAGCTGTTCAAAGCGCGTTTGTTCAGTATAAATTTATTATGTCGTCGTTTGATTATTCGATGAAGGTAGCCGATATTTTTTACTTCCCCCTATGTTCAATGGGTGGACGCTTCTATTCGTTCAGAGTCGAACGAGTTTGCTGATTTTGGATTGGTCGTTCTGAGAAAAAGAATAGACGGCGAGAGTCGGTTTATGGTCTTTGAACCCTGTCCAGACCAGGGGGGAGGTGCCCGCGCTGACTTTGAGCGTCTATAACTTTTTCAATAATCAACCAAACGCTGCCAAACTTGGCAGCTTTATCTAAAATTTATCTGGAAATAATTTGGTATGACAGGTTGTCGTTTCGGGAACTTAACGTTGCCATGGTAATGTCATTTTGACAGACATCTTTTCTAAATTTGTAATTTTTGTGTTTTTAGTAATGGAAATTAGGTTTAATGTAGTTATTTTCACCTTTTTAGGCCTTTTTGGCAACCTTTTAAAGCAAGAGAGGATAATTTTATCCTCTCTTGTTTAAAGTTTTTAAGGACTTTCAGTAATTTGTGGCGGTTTTCTGAGGTTTTTGAAAAAGTTTGAAATCCAGGATGGCGGATGGCGGCTGTTTGGACATTATGTCATAATTGTCACAAGACATGACGTCATCATACCACGTGACGTATACCAAAAGATAGATGTTCAGACATACTATATACCTTCTAAGTTTCATTGTCATTGCTCAAATATTCTAGAAGTTACGGAGGGGGGGAGGGAGGGGCGAATCCGCACCCCCGGTCTGAATAGGGTGAAGAATGTTAAAATTACGAAAATAAGGGGAGGAAACTAGGAGGGAATAGGGCAGCTTCACCCCTCGCCGCCGCTTGCTGGCTGTTTCTCAATTCGTATTAATGTTATCACGTCGCAGGCTAGGAAACGAAATAGACTGCTAGCAGTTAAAAATCCAGAAAAAAGTCTGAGCTGGGAGGCCCGGTACCCAAGCGCCATTGTCATAGAGCCTGGAAATAGAAGGCGATGGTCACAAATGATACGAAACATGCGGAAAAGGAAAAACCACCAAGACTGCGAATTCTATGCAGCGTTGAGAAATTCCGTATCTTAATCCTTTTTTTTTTTTTGCAGAAATAGTGTTTTTCTTAGATTTAAGGTAAAATTTCTTATTTATTACTTTACTAAACACCGGAGTGCAAGCTCAATTATCCACCAACGAAAATGCTGTTCATCGAGTAGTTTTGCCTTTTAAAGATCAAAAGTCAGCTGAGGCAGTGAAAAGGCAATTATCAGATCCAAGCAAAAAAAATAGATCACATTCTTCAACCTGTGTTCAAGAGTCGCAATGTGTGAAGGCCTCGAGATCTGCGAGCCCAAACCACCTATAATTAGCCAACAATGCGTTGTGTACAATTGTAAATATGATTTGTGTGATGCAGGGTATGTCGGCTACACCAACCGAAAATTAGCCGAGTCCGTCGGGCTGCTCTGAAGATAGAAAAAAAGATGGCCTCATAAAAAAAATCTTAAACAACGTATTTCACGCACTTTATTGCGAATTGATGGATGACTTTGCGGCACGCTAGCTTTTACACAATGGAATAAATTAATACAAAGAGAACTGTTGTTTGCCACTGATTCAATTTTTCAGAAGTTTGATATTTGTCAAATAACTCCCCTGATTGCTGTACTGAAAGTAATTGTACTGATCGAAATACCTCCTGCACTAAAAATCCGAATATTCTGTGGCTTAAATTCACAGGTGCATGTGTCTAAAAGCTCGTCAGTGCCCGATCATTGCAGACCGTTTGCCTTAAGCGACCCCAAGGATCCTGCATATCAGTCTGTCTGCGAGCATGACCACAATGACGCATGTGACCGCTGCGACCTTCTATCTGAGACCTTACTTCAAATTGAGGCAGGCCTGGCGGCGCAGACTGAAAATCTGTCATCTGTGGAAAAGGAAGATCTTCACTTCAGGGTGAAGCAAGCCAAGAAAGCCATCTGGGCTTGGAAGTCACACCTTCTTCGCTCTGTCAACTAAGATTCTGCTCGAGTGGAGCTTTTGGAGCAACTAGATGAAACTTCAGTGCTGCTGGTGCAAGATTGGGCCATGAAATATTTGCCCAGAAAGTACAGAGAGAGCCAGACCGACTGGTTTGGGAAACGTGGTATCCCCTGGCATGTGACAGTAGCGACAAAGCGCGAAGGGGATGAGATGCAAATGCTTACATTTGTACACATTTTTAAACCGTGCAATCAAGACAACTGTGCTGTACTCGCAGTGATGGCAGATGTTATACGGCAGCTCAAGATCACAGTACCCAATCTAGCGTCCGTGTATTATCGGCAGGACAATGCCGGATGTTATCACTGTGGAGCAACCATTGTGTGCGCAAGAGTCCTCGGCGAGCAGTTTGGCGTATCCATAAAGCGCCTTGATTTCTCGGATCCCCAAGGGGAAAAGGGCCTTGCGATAAAAGGCTGCTACGATCAAATCACATATGAGAGTTCACCTAAATTCTGGCAGCGATATTGAGACTCCCGCTCAGATGTCTGATGCAATTCTTTCCTCCGGGGGAGTGTCCGCGGTTAACGTTACTCTGTGTGAATCAGCCACACCTCTTGAGCAATCTTTGAAGGTCGAAGGTGTGAGTTTGATTAACAATGTTGAGTATAACGGTGACGGAATTCGCGTGTGGAAGGCGTACGGTGTTGGCCCTGGGAAACTTTTAAAGTTGGAGAATCCACCGTTGTCGGAGCTTCCATCACTCACAAGTACTCAAACACATTCCAGTACCTTCACTTCAGTCAAGGCAAGAAGAAAAAACGTACAGCCTCAAGTTCATGAGGATCAAGTAGACCAAGAGGCTAACGCTGAATTCGTAGAAAATCTGACAGGTGTAGAAGAAGGACTTTTTGTTTGTCCTGAGGAGAGCTGCACACGGACATTCCTAAGGTATTCTTCAATGCAGCGACACTTAGATTGTGGTAAACACGAGCGAGCTCTAGAGCGCGAGACCTTAACAGACAGAGCTGTTAAGGTGTATGGAGAGAAACTGGAGGGACAGACCCCTTCAGTACCAGAGGTTATTGCAAACAGTAGACCTGACATCATACCAGATTCGTGCAGAAAAGTACCAATGGGCTGGGCACTAAGGGCTGGTGCCCCACGAAAGAGATTTACTTCCAGCCAGAAGGCCTATCTTACTGCCAAATTTAAACTGGGGGAACAATCAGGACAGAAAGCAGACCCTGCATCAGTTGCACGTGCGATGGTAAGCGCCAAAGATGCGAGTGGTAACCGCCTGTTTACAAGCGACGATTTCCTTACAGCAAATCAAATAGCTGCCTTCTTTTCCCGACTGGCTGCGAAAAAGACCCTCCAGGATGACGAGGAACTGTCTGATGACGACTTGGAGGCCGCTGCAAGTGAAGCAAGAATCCAAGAGCTGTCGAATGCGGCTTTAAACGAACTGGCGCTTAGACACCCTATCACATATGATGCGTACAATCTTTGTGAAATGGCAGCAAAGTCCAAGTTAAAGAGCTTTTCCATTTCAGTGCTGAAGGATATTTGCTTATTTTTTAGCATTGATATCAGCGATATCTCCGTTCATCGTAAGCAGCCTTACGTGAGCAAGATCGAAGCCCTTTGTTTTAGCTGTACCTGTCAGCAGTGACGAACTACATGTAGCTTGAATATTGGTTTCATTGACCAGGAAAACACCTAAAGTATATGACACTGTACTCTTTTCCTTTCTTTCTTTCTTTCTTTCTTTTTTGCTTTATAAAAGGTACGCCGCCTCTATCTTGTCGAGAATTCGGGATCTCAAAGAATGGCCGATTAATTGTTTGATTAAGGGACGGGAAACAACTTTTTCCGAGTTCGAGTTGAGAAAACTGTCAAGTTTCTAGCGATGGCCATTATCATCGTAGCAATCAAGGTACAAAATCGAAAGGTTTAAATTGATGAGCACGCTATCGTAAGGAAAATTTAAAAAAACAACAACAACAAAAACAAAAAACAGAGATTGTGTAAGTCCAAAGCTTTAAAAAATGTAATTGTAATGACCTACAGTCAGGCGATATCAAATAACACGTAATGTCTCGCGGCCTGATACAAGCGGCCGACTTTGTGACT